TGTGTGAAAAGATATAGGACTTGTAAAGGAAGACTTGAGATGAGGGGTGATATTTTGCTGGACAGTTTCATTCAGTGCGGATCTATACCAGTTGTAAACAGGCCAAAATTTAAAGGAAAAACGCAACGGCACGATATATTTTTCGTGGTGGAATTTTGAAGAAGAGGTGTTGAACTTTCTTTCACAGTGACTGATTTTTTGAATATTGATTATATAAATAAGTGACAGTGATTGGAATTTGTATGGAAGTCTATGGGAAAACATTTGGTGGTGTTTGTCCTATACAGAGGTGACAAGAACCAGTTTATGAGGTAAGTGTAAGAAAATAGTGCATTTTTAGCGCCATTTGTCATTTTGATTACAAAATGGATGCATTTTTTGATAATTTAAAAAAAAAGTTAAATCTTAAAAGTGAGCGGGGCCCCCAGGGGGGCACCTGTGTGTATTGGAGGGGTAGGATTTCCTCTTCTGGCTATGGGTTACAAACTGTTTACTGGCCAGAGGAGGGTAGAAAGGTTGAAAAGGCACACAGAGTTGCCCTTATGGCAGAATGGAAACTGACACGGAGTCAGTTTCCACGTGACAATGTCGAGTGCAGCCACTTATGTCACAATAAGCTTTGTGTGAACCCCCAGCACCTGGTAGTAGAGTCCCACTCTATCAACCAGGAGAGGATTCACTGCCAGTTGCAGGGGCTGTGCAGCAAGTCACACATGCCCTGGTGCATTTTATGTAATTATATTTTAATTACATGTAAATTTCATTTCATTTAGTTAGGGGTTTTGAATAGCTGTGCTCATTTTTTTTGCTTAACTTTTGAGATTTTTGGTCTTTAAATGACTTTGAAAACATCATATTCTTTCTGTAGTTTACTTCCTCCTGATGCTGTTCATAGAGTTTATACAGCTTTTTTCTTTTGATTACTCTAGTATTTCTATATTTTTTTGATTTCTGATATGTTTTTTGCCTTTCATAATTATTTTGAATATTTTTCAGAGATTGACTAACCCTCCCCCCTTCTGGGATGGGGGCACCCACACCAGCACACAAGATCTTTATGGATTCCCCCGGGCCATTATTTGTACTGTGAGCTGCACTGTGCGCCCGACCGTGAAAGTTGCGTGCAAAAGTGACATTCTTAGGCAGTGACCGCCTTAGACGCCTATTGAAGCTCTCCACTTTCTGTGTATTGGTATTAAGAATGGATTTGTCTAGCACTGACGGGGCAAGCCGCCTATTGACACAGGCCTGGAGAATCCTTGCATTGGCCCTGGAGTATGGAATTTTGAAGTTTCCATCAAGGTAAGCACTTTTAGCGAGCCAATTTTTCTTTCCACCCTTGCATACTAAGGAGTGTTTTTTGCATAAGGCATGTTCACCCATGTAGCAGCAAATTATGGCATCACTCACATAGGAGAGTTGCTTCTTAATTTTGCATGCATGACCTGTGCATTTTATTTGTGCCTGATTTATTTCACCAGTGCATCTGTCTGTAAAATCTATAGCAAAGTTATGTAGCAGTTTGATTCTTTCAGCTTTAGTATTTTTGGGCATAATTTTCTGTAAAGATTCATCTTTCTTGATGGCCTTTCTGACATTTTCAGCAAGATGCCGAGTGTCGACAAAATGTCGCGGTTCGTCCGATAGTTTGCCCTCGGCATACAAAGACTCTGCAGCCTTGAATATTGTACTGTCAGGGTCTGACGTAATGTCCTTGACATTTAAATCATTCTCGAGAAGGTCCTCTATGCCCTCTTTGGCCCAGGTGAATTCGTCACCAATGTTTTTGGTCATGGGTATATTTGCCCCACATGTCTGCTCAGTGCACACATGGCTTGGATTGTTCTTGAGGTGCTGTCGCTCAGGACATATTTTGTTTTTGGTCACTAAAGATATTATCTCGTGACTACTGGTCACATCTTCTGCAATTGAGAAGACGGTCTGTGTAGCAGGCTGGAAGGGGGTTTCCCCCACCCCGGAGTAGAGGGAGTTATTATACATCCCATCGCACTGAATTCCTATGTTGTTTGGGTTTGGGGCCCCCCGCAATTTATTAATATTAACTAATTTCTTACATCTTTTTTTCATATCACTCTTATTCAGGGTAACTACTTTTTGCATGACAGTGTTACTTGTCTTTTGTAGTGAAGACTCGGCTGGAGGTGGAGTGTTGGTGGCCATAAAAATTTTGCGCAGAGATGAACTGCCAATGGGGGTTTGACTTAGACCTACTTGTAGGCCATAGTTTATTGTTGCTGCTTTCCTTCCCCTGGAATTGGACTGCACTTCCACATAGAGCTTGTGCATTTCTGAAGTGTAAGGGCACCTGCTGCATTTCAGCCGTAGTCGAGTACCCAGGCCACGCCTCTCCTCAGAGTCCATGTCCCAGGTCAGGTTGCCGTCACATCCAGGGTTGGTCCTCCCATGTTCTTTGAAGGCTGTATTGAACAGCCCACTTGTCTTTTGAAGATGGAGCAGTCTGTGGGAGTCTGAATCACACCTACCGAAACCAGTTTTGTATCTGATCACTTCCTATCCAGGTAAGTTCATTTTCAGAAATTAGAGTTACTCCCCTTAGACTATACTTGTTTTCAGAATTGAGACAAAAGACTCATCACAGTCTGTAGAAACTGGTTTTGTAACTTTTTTCCTCAAATAAATGATCAATTTTAAAGAATGTTATGATAATTTAGAGAATTAATTAATTATGAGTTAATTAAGCTGATTAATTGGACATGATCTTAGGTATACCCCTTATTTCAGGCATATTGGCCTTGTATGGGCCTATTCTAATAATTAGAAAATTTATTTACTAATTATAGAGGTTTAATTTCATTATTTATTAAATTTTAAAGAACTGTAGTTAATACCCCATGGATTCGGCCTGCATCAAAGCCTCAGGATTCTCTTTCTTTTTCAGGGGTCTTGGCCGCAGCAACCGGTGGCACCCAGGTCGCAGCATCATTTCCTGTTCCTCACTCACTGAGGGTGGATGTCTCACCAGTTCCAGGGTTTCCCGGTCTACTCTTGTGAATGGTGCAGGTGAGTTTTCTTCTTTGTTAAGTAATTTTCCCTTGTTGTGAGGCACATATTTGGGTTTAAAACCATAATTATTCCCTCTTTTGAATTTTCCCATCTTTGAAACCTGACTGAAAATTTTACTATGGATACTGTGTCTGAAGTGAAATTCACTTGTGATGTGCTTTTTCCATTGCTCTATCAGCATCATGTCAAGTTAAGGTGTTATCGTGCAATAATTTATTATCATGATAGGAATTAGCCAGCAACCCTCACTGCAAAATGTAGGTGTATTGAAGGGGGTAATGACAGTTTTACTGCTACAGAGAAACAACACTACTAGATCAGATTACCTCTCATCTCTTTTGATAACCTTCTCTTAATTGGCTGTCAGCTGCTTAGTGATTTCATTTTGAATTGTAAAATTAAATACATGTTAAAAACATTTTTTCTCAATAATTTGATTTTTTTTGGCTATTTTTTTTAAAACCGGGTACAATATACCCTGAATGTGAAAATTACATGTAATCCCTCAAATCCTCTTGAAAACATAAGAAATAACACTGTTAGTCAGTTAATTACATATTTTATTTCATAATCACTGTAAAAAGTCAATATGAAGTTCACTTTCAATACATCTTCATATCACAGTTGCATTCATTCTGTGTAGGGGGGTTACATTAAATAGATAGTCATAATTTACATGTTTTTACATGTAATTTCTTCAGGTTACATATTTTAAATGTACAATATACATGTTATCTAAAAATGTCAAATTGGCCACTTTTTCACTTTGTTATCCATTTGGTTATAGGAAAAACACCAGAATTGCCTAGGTACAGGGGGCCGCCATCTTGGACACCCAAAGTTGTGCGGAGAAGAAAAGCTGACAGGAGTCCTGATTGGTCATTAAGAGAAAATCTTTGTGGTGGAATTTGACAGTTAAATATAAGTGATAAAAATTATATGTGATATAACAGAATGTGTGAAAAGATATAGGACTTGTAAAGGAAGACTTGAGATGAGGGGTGATATTTTGCTGGACAGTTTCATTCAGTGCGGATCTATACCAGTTGTAAACAGGCCAAAATTTAAAGGAAAAACGCAACGGCACGATATATTTTTCGTGGTGGAATTTTGAAGAAGAGGTGTTGAACTTTCTTTCACAGTGACTGATTTTTTGAATATTGATTATATAAATAAGTGACAGTGATTGGAATTTGTATGGAAGTCTATGGGAAAACATTTGGTGGTGTTTGTCCTATACAGAGGTGACAAGAACCAGTTTATGAGGTAAGTGTAAGAAAATAGTGCATTTTTAGCGCCATTTGTCATTTTGATTACAAAATGGATGCATTTTTTGATAATTTAAAAAAAAAGTTAAATCTTAAAAGTGAGCGGGGCCCCCAGGGGGGCACCTGTGTGTATTGGAGGGGTAGGATTTCCTCTTCTGGCTATGGGTTACAAACTGTTTACTGGCCAGAGGAGGGTAGAAAGGTTGAAAAGGCACACAGAGTTGCCCTTATGGCAGAATGGAAACTGACACGGAGTCAGTTTCCACGTGACAATGTCGAGTGCAGCCACTTATGTCACAATAAGCTTTGTGTGAACCCCCAGCACCTGGTAGTAGAGTCCCACTCTATCAACCAGGAGAGGATTCACTGCCAGTTGCAGGGGCTGTGCAGCAAGTCACACATGCCCTGGTGCATTTTATGTAATTATATTTTAATTACATGTAAATTTCATTTCATTTAGTTAGGGGTTTTGAATAGCTGTGCTCATTTTTTTTGCTTAACTTTTGAGATTTTTGGTCTTTAAATGACTTTGAAAACATCATATTCTTTCTGTAGTTTACTTCCTCCTGATGCTGTTCATAGAGTTTATACAGCTTTTTTCTTTTGATTACTCTAGTATTTCTATATTTTTTTGATTTCTGATATGTTTTTTGCCTTTCATAATTATTTTGAATATTTTTCAGAGATTGACTAACCCTCCCCCCTTCTGGGATGGGGGCACCCACACCAGCACACAAGATCTTTATGGATTCCCCCGGGCCATTATTTGTACTGTGAGCTGCACTGTGCGCCCGACCGTGAAAGTTGCGTGCAAAAGTGACATTCTTAGGCAGTGACCGCCTTAGACGCCTATTGAAGCTCTCCACTTTCTGTGTATTGGTATTAAGAATGGATTTGTCTAGCACTGACGGGGCAAGCCGCCTATTGACACAGGCCTGGAGAATCCTTGCATTGGCCCTGGAGTATGGAATTTTGAAGTTTCCATCAAGGTAAGCACTTTTAGCGAGCCAATTTTTCTTTCCACCCTTGCATACTAAGGAGTGTTTTTTGCATAAGGCATGTTCACCCATGTAGCAGCAAATTATGGCATCACTCACATAGGAGAGTTGCTTCTTAATTTTGCATGCATGACCTGTGCATTTTATTTGTGCCTGATTTATTTCACCAGTGCATCTGTCTGTAAAATCTATAGCAAAGTTATGTAGCAGTTTGATTCTTTCAGCTTTAGTATTTTTGGGCATAATTTTCTGTAAAGATTCATCTTTCTTGATGGCCTTTCTGACATTTTCAGCAAGATGCCGAGTGTCGACAAAATGTCGCGGTTCGTCCGATAGTTTGCCCTCGGCATACAAAGACTCTGCAGCCTTGAATATTGTACTGTCAGGGTCTGACGTAATGTCCTTGACATTTAAATCATTCTCGAGAAGGTCCTCTATGCCCTCTTTGGCCCAGGTGAATTCGTCACCAATGTTTTTGGTCATGGGTATATTTGCCCCACATGTCTGCTCAGTGCACACATGGCTTGGATTGTTCTTGAGGTGCTGTCGCTCAGGACATATTTTGTTTTTGGTCACTAAAGATATTATCTCGTGACTACTGGTCACATCTTCTGCAATTGAGAAGACGGTCTGTGTAGCAGGCTGGAAGGGGGTTTCCCCCACCCCGGAGTAGAGGGAGTTATTATACATCCCATCGCACTGAATTCCTATGTTGTTTGGGTTTGGGGCCCCCCGCAATTTATTAATATTAACTAATTTCTTACATCTTTTTTTCATATCACTCTTATTCAGGGTAACTACTTTTTGCATGACAGTGTTACTTGTCTTTTGTAGTGAAGACTCGGCTGGAGGTGGAGTGTTGGTGGCCATAAAAATTTTGCGCAGAGATGAACTGCCAATGGGGGTTTGACTTAGACCTACTTGTAGGCCATAGTTTATTGTTGCTGCTTTCCTTCCCCTGGAATTGGACTGCACTTCCACATAGAGCTTGTGCATTTCTGAAGTGTAAGGGCACCTGCTGCATTTCAGCCGTAGTCGAGTACCCAGGCCACGCCTCTCCTCAGAGTCCATGTCCCAGGTCAGGTTGCCGTCACATCCAGGGTTGGTCCTCCCATGTTCTTTGAAGGCTGTATTGAACAGCCCACTTGTCTTTTGAAGATGGAGCAGTCTGTGGGAGTCTGAATCACACCTACCGAAACCAGTTTTGTATCTGATCACTTCCTATCCAGGTAAGTTCATTTTCAGAAATTAGAGTTACTCCCCTTAGACTATACTTGTTTTCAGAATTGAGACAAAAGACTCATCACAGTCTGTAGAAACTGGTTTTGTAACTTTTTTCCTCAAATAAATGATCAATTTTAAAGAATGTTATGATAATTTAGAGAATTAATTAATTATGAGTTAATTAAGCTGATTAATTGGACATGATCTTAGGTATACCCCTTATTTCAGGCATATTGGCCTTGTATGGGCCTATTCTAATAATTAGAAAATTTATTTACTAATTATAGAGGTTTAATTTCATTATTTATTAAATTTTAAAGAACTGTAGTTAATACCCCATGGATTCGGCCTGCATCAAAGCCTCAGGATTCTCTTTCTTTTTCAGGGGTCTTGGCCGCAGCAACCGGTGGCACCCAGGTCGCAGCATCATTTCCTGTTCCTCACTCACTGAGGGTGGATGTCTCACCAGTTCCAGGGTTTCCCGGTCTACTCTTGTGAATGGTGCAGGTGAGTTTTCTTCTTTGTTAAGTAATTTTCCCTTGTTGTGAGGCACATATTTGGGTTTAAAACCATAATTATTCCCTCTTTTGAATTTTCCCATCTTTGAAACCTGACTGAAAATTTTACTATGGATACTGTGTCTGAAGTGAAATTCACTTGTGATGTGCTTTTTCCATTGCTCTATCAGCATCATGTCAAGTTAAGGTGTTATCGTGCAATAATTTATTATCATGATAGGAATTAGCCAGCAACCCTCACTGCAAAATGTAGGTGTATTGAAGGGGGTAATGACAGTTTTACTGCTACAGAGAAACAACACTACTAGATCAGATTACCTCTCATCTCTTTTGATAACCTTCTCTTAATTGGCTGTCAGCTGCTTAGTGATTTCATTTTGAATTGTAAAATTAAATACATGTTAAAAACATTTTTTCTCAATAATTTGATTTTTTTTGGCTATTTTTTTTAAAACCGGGTACAATATACCCTGAATGTGAAAATTACATGTAATCCCTCAAATCCTCTTGAAAACATAAGAAATAACACTGTTAGTCAGTTAATTACATATTTTATTTCATAATCACTGTAAAAAGTCAATATGAAGTTCACTTTCAATACATCTTCATATCACAGTTGCATTCATTCTGTGTAGGGGGGTTACATTAAATAGATAGTCATAATTTACATGTTTTTACATGTAATTTCTTCAGGTTACATATTTTAAATGTACAATATACATGTTATCTAAAAATGTCAAATTGGCCACTTTTTCACTTTGTTATCCATTTGGTTATAGGAAAAACACCAGAATTGCCTAGGTACAGGGGGCCGCCATCTTGGACACCCAAAGTTGTGCGGAGAAGAAAAGCTGACAGGAGTCCTGATTGGTCATTAAGAGAAAATCTTTGTGGTGGAATTTGACAGTTAAATATAAGTGATAAAAATTATATGTGATATAACAGAATGTGTGAAAAGATATAGGACTTGTAAAGGAAGACTTGAGATGAGGGGTGATATTTTGCTGGACAGTTTCATTCAGTGCGGATCTATACCAGTTGTAAACAGGCCAAAATTTAAAGGAAAAACGCAACGGCACGATATATTTTTCGTGGTGGAATTTTGAAGAAGAGGTGTTGAACTTTCTTTCACAGTGACTGATTTTTTGAATATTGATTATATAAATAAGTGACAGTGATTGGAATTTGTATGGAAGTCTATGGGAAAACATTTGGTGGTGTTTGTCCACATGAGATGTTGAATGAAAAGTAGTATTTAAATTGTATAATTTTATTTGTTTGAAAGTTTTAATAATGGAACTATGTTGCACGAGACATTTTCCGTTTACTGTAAACGAAATCTGTTCTTAGTAGAACGAATTTTTAGAGTAAATTGGTTAAACGGATTTTATCAGGGTATAAATAAGACGAATCCGTTAATTTTCAGTGAGTCTGCAACTTTTGGGTTTTAGAGAAACAAGTGGGGTTAGCATAATTTTTAAGATGTAAGTTTATTTATTCATTTGGAATTTTACTGGGTAAAAACTAATTGAAATTGCTAGGAAATATCTTTAGGGATTTAGATTTGTTCACATAGTTCTATAACTTGGAAATCTGATCAATTAATTTGTTAATTAGTGTGAATAACTTAATTAAAAGTCACATATTCTGAGTTATCTCTGAATTAGACTTTACAAAAGTTGGGAATTTTATCAATTTATTAATTAATTGCAAGTAATTTAATTAAAGTCACATATTCTGAGTTATCTCTGAATTAGACTTTACAAAAGTACTGTTTGTGAATTTACTTGAATTCTGATTTTATTTTGGGAGAAATTGAGAAACAAAGGAATTAATTTCATGTTATTTTGAGGAGGCTATTAATTTATTATCTTGTTAAAAGGGACTATTGCACTAAATAAATTGTGGAACTTGAAACAGACTCTTCATTTTGTTTCTTTGGTACTTAAATAGTACCTGGTGTCAGAAAAAAAAGAATTAAATAATAAAAGAAATAAATTTGAACTTCAATATTTGAACTGCACCATCCTGACAGACTCAGGCAGTTCAGAGTGTAGCGTCAGCACGTTACAGTATTTTATTATGGTTCGGACTTTTTAGGGTAGTTGGGGGTAGAAGTTTTTGCTTTGCAAGGTACAACTCTGCGATTTTTTTATGAATCAGTGAAATGTTCTCCTACACATTCCTTACAAAATTAATGTTTACGGAGCAAAGTTCACAATAACTCTGCACCACAGAGTCTTCACAAAGACTATAATAGCGTATTATGTCTTGTGCGCAGTACCGTTGGTCCATAGCCGTGTCTTGGGCACCTGATAATCATAATTTATTTGAATTTTACACTGGAAGATTAAGTACGGAAGTCCATTTCGGACCAATCAAAATATTTTTGAATTCTTTATAACGAATTTGTTCTAACGAATTTGTTATGACGAGTTTAATCTGTTATAACGAATTTGTGCAATTCGTTAAAACGTTTTTATGATAAGGTGGTGCTTTTACATTAAATGCTGTGGTTTCTTCATTATGATGGGATACTTTTACATTGTATGCTGTGGGTTTTCGCTAGTTTTGTATGATGTCATGCATGTAGTTAATATTTCCCTCAAAAATTAGGCTCCGACTCTTTTTCTCTAGCCTTAACTGTGCTGCGAAAGTTTACAGGCAAAGGACAATGTACAACAGAGAACAATATGTAACTTGAGTGACTCAGGTACCAAGACAACGTGGTATGTTGTTTTTTTTTTGTCTCCTGTTACCTAGATGTTTGGGATAGAGGGAACCTCGTATTCTAATCGACCACATCTTCCAAAGACACTGAACGGGGTCTGGAACTGGTCCATTTTCGCATGCCATTTCCTGCTACTACCCTTTTGTAACAATGTAATTGCATAAATGAGTTGTAGATATCATTGAAATTCAAAATGCTATATAATATTTTTATTCCATTTCTAAGATACGATTTTTGTATGACAATAAAATATTAGTGGTATATTCAAATATTGAGTTGTTTACATCAAGAATCCCGAGAACGTGGTAACAGGAGAGTCACTGTAGGTGTGATAACCTGATCCAGCCTGATGGCTGACCCATACTGTGTCTCCCTGGTCCAATGGCAAAGTCACCAGGTTCGTACCAGTCTCGTAACCATCATCAGAACCATGCATGTTTGCCATTGCTCAAACCTTTTTAGATCCATTAAATACAATATCTACATGTATATCATCGTTATTACTGTAACTTTGAATACTGACGTAAAACAAGTAGTCCCCTTCCACTGGTGCTGTAAATATTCCGGTGTTCGGGTTATAACCACCTCCCACGTTATTGATGACTTTATTGAACACCAATATCCCGCTGTTCCAGGAACTGCTACGGGACGTCACTCCAGCAGTGAAGGCCACTCTCTTTGACAAGTCTACAAAAGCATTGATTTTGTGACATGTGCGACATGGACTTAAACGTGAAGCAGAGGAACCCCCCCCCCCCCCGGGAATTTTGGGCATTACCTACTTGCAATCACTTCTGCTAATGATGCACGTCTACAAGTATCTGCGTACGTATAGATCATCGAGTATCCTTAAGTTCAAACTTGTAGCTTATATTTTCTTATCTGCTGTCTATTTCAGTCAAGGTTTCAGTTTTTAGCTCACCTGAGCCAAAGCTCAAGTGAGCTTTTCTGTTCAAAGAGTACCTGGTGTCCGTCTGTCGTCTGGTGTCTGCCGTCTGTAAACACATTTTCGACTTCTTCTCAAGAACCACTGAGCCAATTTCAACCAAACTTGCCACAGAAGCATCCTTATGTGAAGGGGATTTAAGTTTCTTCACAGGAAGTGCCACGCCCTCTTTCAACGGGGGGGGGGGGTGATTAAGAATTCGTGAAAATCTAGTGCATGGCATTTAAAAATAATCTTCTTAACAACCACTGGACTAGAAAAGATGAAACTTATGTAAAAGCTTCATTACATACTCTAGATTTAGATTTGTTCATATTATAACTCTGGGAGTAGAGCTGGGCCATGAAAGGGGGTCGAAGTTTTACATAGGAATAAACGTATTACATTTAGCTGTGTTTTCTTTTTAGCGCCTTTCGCGGAAAGAAACTTCCGCTAAATCAAGTACAACGCTAAAATGTCTTGCACATGTAGATATAAATAGGAACATAAGTAAACGCGCTGAAACAAATCTTCGCTAACTTGTTCAAAATCAACTTCCGCCAAATATCGTACACGCAAAATATAATACATTTACAGTATATAGGAAATGCCTTTAAAAAATCTTCTTCTCAAGGACAGCAAACCATGATAAGTCGTATTATTATAGAAGTATCCTCTAGTAGTGTAGATTCAAGTTTTTTAGCTCACCTGAGCTGAAAGCTCAAGTGAGCTTTTCTGATCACATTTTGTCCGGCGTCTGTCTGTCTGTCCGTCTGTCTGTCTGTCTGTAAACTTCTCACATTTTCGACTTCTTCTCAAGAACCACTGGGCCAATTTCAACCAAACTTGCCACAAAGTATCCTTGGGTAAAGGGGATTCAAGTTTGTTCAAATGAAGGGCCACGCCCTCTTTCAAGGGGAGATAATTAGGAATTACTGAAAAAATAATGGCATCATTTAAAAATCTTCTTCTCAAGAACCATAGGGCCAGGAAAGATGAAACTCATGTGGAAGCATCCTTAGGTAGTGTACATTCAAGTTTGTTCAAATCATGACCCCCGGGGGTAGGGCGGGGCTGCAATGGAGGATCAAAGTTTTACATAGAAATATTTAGGAAAAATCCTTAAAAATCTTCTTCTCAAGAACAGCAAAGCCATGATGAGTCATATTTAAATGGAAGCATCCTGAGGTAGTGTAGATTCAAGTTTGTTCAAATCATGACCCCCGGGGGTAGGGTGGGGCCACAATGGGGGATCAAAGTTTTACATAGAAATATATAGGAAAAATCTTTAAAAATCTTCTTCTCAAGAACAGCAAAGCCATGATGAGTCATATTTATATGGAAGCATCCTTAGGTAGTGTTGATTCAAATTTGTTCAAATCATGACCCCCGGGGGTAGGGCGGGGCCACAATGGAGGATCAAAGTTTTACATAGAAATATATAGGAAAAATCTTTAAAAATCTTCTTCTCAAGAACAGCAAAGCCATGATGAGTCATATTTAAATGGAAGCATCCTGAGGTAGTGTAGATTCAAGTTTGTTCAAATCATGACCCCCGGGGGGTAGGGCGGGGCCACAATGGAGGATCAAAGTTTTACATAGAAATATATAGGAAAAATCTTTAAAAATCTTCTTCTCAAGAACAGCAAAGCCATGATGAGTCATATTTAAATGGAAGCATCCTGAGGTAGTGTAGATTCAAGTTTGTTCAAATCATGACCCCCGGGGGGTAGGGCGGGGCCACAATGGAGGATCAAAGTTTTACATAGAAATATATAGGAAAAATCTTTAAAAATCTTCTTCTCAAGAACAGCAAAGCCATGATGAGTCATATTTATATGGAAGCATCCTCAGGTAGTGTAGATTCAAATTTGTTCAAATCTTGACCCCTGGGGGTAGGGCGGGGCCACAATGGGGGATCAAAGTTTTACATAGAAATATATAGGAAAAATCTTTTAAAATCTTCTTCTCAAGAACAGCAAAGTCATGATTGGTCATATTTATATGGAAGCATCCTCAGGTAGTGTAGATTCAAATTTGTTCAAATCTTGACCCCCAGGGGTAGGGCGGGGCCACAATGGAGGATCAAAGTTTTACATAGAAATATATAGGAAAAATCTTTAAAAATCTTCTTCTCAAGAACAGCAAAGCCATGATGAGTCATATTTATATGGAAGCATCCTCAGGTAGTGTAGATTCAAGTTTGTTCAAACCATGACCCCTGGGGGTAGGGTGGGGCCACAATGGGGGATCAAAGTTTTACATAGAAATATAAAGGAAAATATCTTCTTCTGAAGAACTGCAAACCATGATTAGTCATTTTGATATGGAAGCATCCTCAGGTAGTGAAGATTCAATTTTGTTCAAATGATGACCCCAAGGGGTAGGGTGGGGCCCAATGGGGGAAGGAAAGTTTTACATAAGAACATATAGAAAAAATATTTCTTCTCAAGAACAGAAAAGCTAAGTTTAGTCATATTGATATGGAAGCATCCTCAGGTAGTGTAGATTCAAGTTTGTTCAAATGATGACCCCTGGGATAGGGAGGAGCCACAATGAGGGATCAAATTTTTACAAAGGAATATATGGGAATTTTTTTAAAAAAATCTTCTTAAGTACAACAAAGCCATTTGTTATATTGACATGGAAGCATCATCAGGTAGTTTAAAATTCAAGCCCCTCCCTAGCCAATGTGCTCAGGTGAGCGATGTGGCCCATGGGCCTCTTGTTTCCAATCACGACCGCTGGGGGTAGGACAGGGCCACAACAGAGGGTCAAATTTTACCATAGGAAATATATATAGGAAATATCTTTAAAATTTCTTTCAAAAAGTGTTATTACGCCTTCTCAAAAAGGAGTTGAAAAAGGCACTCTAACGCCTTTCTATGAAGTTATTACGCCTTCTCAAAATGGCTTTACAGGTATTTCTCCTTTTCAAAAGGCGTTATTATGCCTTTCAGAAAGGATTTATTTCGCATTTCAAAAAGGCGTTATTACGCTTATGGAAAAGGCGTTATCATGCTTTCGAAATGGCGTTATGATACCTTTTGAAAGGCCCGAGTTTTTGAAGGGGGGGGGGGTGGAGAGAAAAAAACAAAGATAAAAAACAAAACAAAACACAAAACAAAATAACCCGACACTGCTTAAACTCGAAAATCCTTTTTTTGGGGGGGGGGGGGGGTTAGGGGTCAGGGGGTCATTTTTCTAGGGGGAATGTAAGGGGTCAGGGGATCATTTTTCTAATTTTTCGGTAATTTTTTAGGTCACCTGAGTAACTCAGGTCACCTATTGCTATCCGTTTTTGTCTGTCGTCTTGCGTTGTATGTTAACATTTGAACATTTTTAGCTTCTTCTCTGAAACCGCTTAACCAATTTCAACCAAATTTGGCATATAGCATCTATAGGTGAAGGGGAACAAAAATGTGAATTTCATGATCCCTGCCCCCCCCCCTGGGCCTGAGGGGTGGGGCTAAAACCACCAAAATTAATGCAATCTTTAAAAATCTTCTTCTTTACTCCTGGACATCAAGCAGTCAAACTGTTGGCATGACTGTAGTAAGCACTGAGCCCTATACCGAAATTGTGAAATTCATGACCCCAGGATCAGGGGTTCTGGTGCTAGGGTGGGGCTATATTGATTATATAGGGAAAATACATTAATTCTTTGAAAATCTTCTTCTCTGTTCTTGGGTATTGAACAAACTAACTAAGTATAAAGTAATGATGAGGAAGAGTGCCTCATCCAAAATTGTGAATTTCATGGCCCCTGGGTCAGGGGTCCTGGTGTTAGGGTGGGGCTCTATTGATTATATAGTGAAAATACATTAATCATTGAAAATCTTCTCTACTCCTAGTATTAAATAAACTAACTAAGAATATAGTAATGGCGAGCATGGCTGCCTTTTCAGAAATTGTGAATTTCATGGCCCCTGGGACAGGGGTTCAGGTGTTAAGGTGGGGCTCTATTGATTATATTGTAAAATTGCATTAATTCTTTGAAAATATTCTTATCTGCTCCTGGGTATTAAATAAACTAACATGCATAGTTATGACGAGCATGGTTGCCTCTTCCAAAATTGTGAATTTCATGGCCCCTGGGTCAGGGGTTCTGGTGTTAGGGCGTGGCTCTATTGATATATATCGTGAAAATGCATTCATTTAATTCTTTGAAAATCTTCTTCTCTGCTCCTGGATATTAAATAAACTAAGTACATAGTTATGATAAATAAGGCTCCCTCCTCAGAAATTATGAATTTCATGGCCTCAGGGTCAGGGGTTCTTGTGTAAGAGCGGAGCTCTATTGTTTATATAGGGAACATTCATAAATTCTTTCAAAATATTCTTCTCTGCTCCTAGGTATTATTCAAACAAAGGAAGTGCATGGTTATGATAAGGAAGAATGCCTCTTCCAAAATTGTGAAATTCATGGCCCCTGGGTCAGGGATTCTGTTGAAGCTCTATTGATTATTTAGTGAAAATGCATAATTTTTTTCCAAATATTTTTTTTCTACTACTGGTTATAAAGCAAAGAAACAAGTGTATAGTTATGATGAGCAAGGGTGCTTCTTCCAGAATTGTGAATTCATGGCCCCTGCGTCAGAAGTTCTGATGTAAGGGTGGGGCTTTTTTTTATTTAATAATATAGTGAAAATGCATTTCTTTGAAAATCTTCTATGAATTTTGAACACCTGGACCATTTAGTCAAGTGTTCTGGTTCCTGGCAAGGGCTCTAATAATTTGTATTCTGCTGAGCAAGGTTATTCACCCTTGCCATTCACCTTTGATAATCAATTACTGTAAATAATGTATTTGAAAGGTTAATAGAATAAGAGAATTATGCAAGAGTATTTATTGTATAATACAGAAAGTACTTTCATAGTTTTAATGATCAGGTAGACTTGAAAATAATAGATGAATAAAAATGAGACAAAAATAACTTATCTTTTTAAATGTTCTTCAAAGAGAGACCAATGTGAGAAGTTATAATATAGGGTTAAAAAATAGACATTTTGTTAATAGTCTGCATAGTAATAGTGATAAATGGGAGACAGATAGATACTAGACTATCTATTTTGTTGATCCTAATCATACTATTTTTCTTGCTTTTGGGCAACAAAGCTTCATTTATCAGTTTATGGATCCTCTAAATTGTTGTATTGTATTCAAGTGACCGTTAAGGCCCTTGGGCCTCTTGTTTTTTTAAATTCTTTCCCAGAGTTGGACCATACTGCAACAAAATGTGAAGGAACTAAGCGTCCAATCAATGAAATTGTTCATATTAAAATTCAGCGAGACTATTCTCCTTTTGTACATATACTGCTGGCCTGATGAAAAGGCGTTATAGCGAAAATGATAAGATGTTATTTTAAGTTAATAATTATATGGATGATTGAATCAAAGCCATCTTTATTAATGCAATATTTAAAAGTATTTTCTATACTCTTGCAGATCTCGCAGACATCTATTTGCATGAGAATTAAAAGAAGACAACACACTGCTTGTGAAAATCCAGGATTCAGGCAGATGTAGCTTGGGGCTTTGCTGGTCATATATTAAAAAATCATTTCAAATTTGAAAATCTTTTTCTTTTCTCTTTGAAAAAAAGCAGGCGACTATTTGCATTTGTATAATGAGCAATTAGCCTTCAACCAAAACTGTGAAATCCATGACCCTTGCTAAAGGTGTCAGAGAAGGACTAAGTTGGTTTAACACTGAAAATATATTACGCATTCAAAAATTTGTTTTCCTGGATATCTAGCTACAGTCTGTTCAAATTATTATTTTTTGAGAAATAAAACGTATACAAAATTGTGAAATTCATGTCCCGAGGGTCAGCATTTCAGCCCCCGGGATGGTCTAAGTCAGGTTTTGAAAACAAAAGGTGTAATAAGGTCTTTTGAAAAGCGGTTATAGCGCGTTTTTGAAAGGCGTAATAACACCTTTAGAAAAGGCATAATAACGATTTTTTTAAAGGCATAATATCTCATTTTGAAAAGGCGTAATACCGCCTTTTGAAAACACGTAATAACGCCTTTTGAAAAGACGTATTAAGGTCAAGATCTAGTAAATGAAAGGTGCGTACAGATTTCTCAAATTTGAGAATTAAATTCCTTTAATGATGTTTTATAACTTAAGCTTAGTCAAATAGGGTGTTTCGGGGCATAATTTGTAGGTAAACAAGATGAAAAATCATATTTTAAACTCATTTTCAATAAGAAATTAAGAAAACCAGTCATTAATATGGGAGTTTTTTGAATATCGGACAAAGGAAATGTATCCAGATTGCCTACAGTCTCTCAGAAAATGGTAATTTGTATGTTCTTGGCCTCTTCTTTGAAATAATATCAAATTTAATATAGGTATCGGGATTACTTTTCATATGATTTCAAATTGAATTCCGGGAAATACTTTATTTTCCTCATAATTCTATATTAGAGCCGTAAAGTACGGGAAAAAGAAAGATGAAATGGATTATGACGTCATAATGGATCTAGCACTAAAATGTTAGTCTAAAGTCAATTACTAGAACTTGACCTTAATTAAGGTATGTCACTCGTCAGCTGTTAAGAAAAGTTCGATCAGAACCTCAAACTATAAAATTATTCATTACAATTCAGTTTATATAACATATTTGAATTAAACAATGCAAATTATACAATATTCAATTTCAAAACTGCTCACAAAGTCAAAAATTTATGAGAGACTATTTTTTGTAGCGGAAGGATATTTAGAAGAAAATTCTTCAAATCAACATATTTGTTACAATTAACATCTTGGAACTTTAGCCCCACATAGTTTTACTCAGAGAATATTTTCCGTTATTATATGCTAGGAATATTGAACATAGGTTTCAATGTATATTTTTAGAACAAATTTTTACACATTCTCTCAACAGACTTTGCCAAGAAATGAAAATATACTAAAGAAATCAAGATAAAATGTACACATTTTTTGGCCCAAAAATTGCATATTTTAACCAATATCTCAAAATTAACATCACTGACCCTAACTTTTTCTTTTGGTATTTTAAACTACACTGTACTTCCAACCAATCAGCACTAAAGTCATAAAAAGTTTGATACCAAACAATATTTTATTGCCTATTTAGATTTTTAATACTTCAAATATGATACTTTTTTAGTGCAAAAAGGTCACACAATAATTTATGCACATTAATTTGCATGATTTGTTCAATGATACATATTATTCAAACTATTTTATGTAAAATAAGATGATACTTATTTCCATGATTACATCTGATAAAATATGATAATGCCCTTTTGAAAGGCATTATAACGCCTTTTTCGCTTTATTACGCATTTTCAAAAGACGTTATGACGCTTTTTAATTTTGTCCCCCATAAATTGATCTAATAGGCTTTTTGTAAATGTCTAGAACAACGTTTGTAGAAAAAAGTACCCAACCCACTTACGTGAATTATGATTCCGAAACTTCATAAAAATCCTTACAAACAAAGATACATAGCGGGTTCCAGTAAATGTTCAACCAAGCCTCTTTCTTTACTCCTCACTAAGATATTTTAAAACAATGGTGAAGGAGAAACTTCAAGAGTACTGTGCAACAATATATTCGAGAAGTGGTGTAAATCAGATGTGGATACTTGAGAATTCCAAGGAACTTTTGGAAAATTTGAAATCACAAGATTTTACCAAAATCAACAGCTTAAAAACTTACTACTTTTCAACTTTATACACAACCATTCCCCACGATAAATGAAAGTCCAGGCTTTTTGATATCATTGACAGCTGCTTTTTCAATAAAAATGGAATCCGTAAATATACTTACCTTGTCATTGGTCATTTGCAAAATTATTTTGTTAAAAAAAATTCTGATTGTACACACAAGTATTCTGAAGTTGACACTAAAAGATGCTTGAGTTTCTGATTGACAATATCTATGTGGTTTTTGGAGAACAGGTCTTCCAACAATCTATTGGAATTGCTATAGGTACCAATTGCGCCCCGTTATTAGCAGACCTTTTTTGTATTCATATGAAGCAGAACTTGTCCAAAATCTTGTACGTGAAAAGAAGAAAACACTTGCTGTGGCCTTCAACTCGACATTTAGATATATCGACGACATATTGTCAATAAACAATGGCTATTTCCATTCTTATGTCGATACGATATATCCTGGTGAACTTGAGATAAAAGATACCATAGAGTCTGACACATCTGTTTCATATTTGGATATTTTACTTGAAAAAGACGTTAATGGTAATCTAACAACCAAGTTTTATGATAAACGTGATGACTTTAACTTTTCAATCGTCAACTTCCCTTACTTATGCAGCAATATACCTTCATCACCTGCATATGGGTATATATCTCTCTGTTGATTCGATACGCAAGAGCATACTCTACGTATGTACAATTTCTAAAACGAGGTAAATTATTGACAAACAAGTTGATGAAACAAGAATATCATCTGTCTCGTTTAAAGTCATCAATTCGTAAGTTCTATGGTCGATACAATGACCTTGTCAGCAAATACAATTTATCATTGAGTCAAATGCTGACTGACGTTTTTCATACAAATTGTTAGGCCATTATTTACACAATGAATTGTCGACGGATTTTCCCGTTATTTCCCGATCATGACAAGGAGCACACGGCGGGTGTGACCGGTCGGCAGGGGATGCTCACTCCTCCATGGCACCTGATCCCACCTCTGGTGTTTAATTTGGAGGTCCGTATTTGCTCTGCTCCTATTTTGTATTGTTTTGTTGGACTTTTGAGATTGAATACTGTTCGTTATCTCCATATATTTCATGCATTTTAGCTCAAATGAGCTTTTCTCATCACATTTTACACTGAGCTACTTTAGAGAATCAAAGCTTTACATTGGAATATAATATCTTTAATTTAAACAGCAAGGCCATGTTAGTCATATTGATATTGAAGCATCCCCATGATGTGCGGATTCAAGTTTTGAATAATCGTCGGAACCCACGGGTTTTCTCTCCGTTACACTACATTGAATGTAGTGTAACGGAGAGAAAATCCGTGGGTTCCGACCATGGTTTTGAATGTCAAAACCTTGGATCAGGGTGGGACAATAATATTGGGATAAGATTTTTCTCTGGAACAAGAAGGGAAAAAATCTGATGAGGAAATAAGGAAAGGTCAGGGTAACCCACGTTAGGTTGTGCCCCATGGGCTCTTGTGCCTGCAACGTTTAAACTGTTTTCCCCATATTTACAAAGATATTATTTTATTTCACATACCACAACGATTGCTGGTAACATTCATTCGGAACACTTCGAGGGAGGAGACAGTAGAAGATAATTTCAGTTGTTCATACTGTGATTGTTTGACATCATTCTGTAGATTGGCAATGGTTTTGTTAATATCATCTGAAAAAATAAAACACACATAGCAAAAAATCAACAACGCGAGATAAGAATAAGTCGTCAACTTCCCTCCAAAATTAATCTCAATGATATTTAGATGCCTTAACTAACTAAGTGATAAAGTAAGCTGCTCTAAATAAAAAAAAAATATTAAACCTTTTATGTTAATATATTTTAATTCTTATATATAACACGGATATTGCAAATTTTCGGATTTAGCGAAGATTTTTTGGGGGATCCCCGACAAAATTCTAATTTCTTGCAAAATTTTACACACACACACAAAAGAACTCCGATAAAACACACAGATATAGCAAATTATTTGAGTAGAAGACGATATATAAGGGATGTCAAAATTGTCAATAATTCATATTCTAATATCCAGTTAAAGTATTCGAATATATTCGAATATTCGATAAAATAAATAAATCCTGCTTTATTTTATCTATGCATCACCCTACCCTCAGCCAGTACATGTTTCATATCGGTATTGTGTAGTAAATGTTGATGTTGACCTTTGTAATTATTCGTGTGAATTTAAAAAAAATATCTATGTTAGGCCAACTTTAAAGTAATGTTTGTTTGGCCTCTCCTGACTCATGATGAAAAAATTGGGCCAATAGGTAGGTAAGAATTTTTTTCTCAGAAAACTTCAATGCTATATTTTTAAAAATCTGTTTTCCAGAATAAATAAAAGAATTGCCTCTTGGAGGTAAAAAATTTTTAGTTGGGCTAATTTTAGCCAGTCGGTCGGGAGAATGCAACTTGGTTAATTAAGTCCTTTTCCAATCAAATTTACTAGAGTTGTTTCAAGAATATTTAAAAAAAAAATGAAAAAAAGAAAACGAATATTCGAATCAAAACTTAATATATTCTTCGATAATTAACTAATCGAATGAAAAATCAAATATTCTTGACATCCCTATATAGATAAGAAATGTTTTAGAAAGAAGGCAGTGTGACAGACGGACTTATAGGCAAAAGTTAAGAACAATATAAGTTTTGTTTTGTTTGTTTGTTTGTTTTTTTTTTTGTTTTTTTTTTTGCTTTTTCGAAAATGTTGGTATGATGAAATTATTGCTCTGAAGTAAGACTTAACGGGATATATTTAACTGAAAAGATTAAATAAATGGAAAGTATAGCTTAAATTGATAATTGTTGACCTGAAAAATTTCAAATAATTACCTTAGCAAAAAAATAGCAGTTTAAGCGGGAAACGTTAAACCACAAGCGGGAATGTATATGTGCATTACTTATATGATTATTATGCAAGACATTAAGATTGTCGAAAATCAGCTTAAGTTTTATTCTTAAAAAAGTTAAAAACACACAGATATAGCAAATTATTTGAGTAGAAGACGATATATAAGGGATGTCAAAATTGTCAATAATTCATATTCTAATATCCAGTTAAAGTATTCGAATATATTCGAATATTCGATAAAATAAATAAATCCTGCTTTATTTTATCTATGCATCACCCTACCCTCAGCCAGTACATGTTTCATATCGGTATTGTGTAGTAAATGTTGATGTTGACCTTTGTAATTATTCGTGTGAATTTAAAAAAAATATCTATGTTAGGCCAACTTTAAAGTAATGTTTGTTTGGCCTCTCCTGACTCATGATGAAAAAATTGGGCCAATAGGTAGGTAAGAATTTTTTTCTCAGAAAACTTCAATGCTATATTTTTAAAAATCTGTTTTCCAGAATAAATAAAAGAATTGCCTCTTGGAGGTAAAAAATTTTTAGTTGGGCTATTTTTAGCCAGTCGGTCGGGAGAATGCAACTTGGTTAATTAAGTCCTTTTCCAATCAAATTTACTAGAGTTGTTTCAAGAATATTTAAAAAAAAAATGAAAAAAAGAAAACGAATATTCGAATCAAAACTTAATATATTCTTCGATAATTAACTAATCGAATGAAAAATCAAATATTCTTGACATCCCTATATAGATAAGAAATGTTTTAGAAAGAAGGCAGTGTGACAGACGGACTTATAGGCAAAAGTTAAGAACAATATAAGTTTTGTTTTGTTTGTTTGTTTGTTTGTTTGTTTGTTTGTTTTTTTTTTTTTTTTGCTTTTTCGAAAATGTTGGTATGATGAAATTATTGCTCTGAAGTAAGACTTAACGGGATATATTTAACTGAAAAGATTAAATAAATGGAAAGTATAGCTTAAATTGATAATTGTTGACCTGAAAAATTTCAAATAATTACCTTAGCAAAAAAAAAGCAGTTTAAGCGGGAAACGTTAAACCACAAGCGGGAATGTATATGTGCATTACTTATATGATTATTATGCAAGACATTAAGATTGTCGAAAATCAGCTTAAGTTTTATTCTTAAAAAAGTTAAAATAGTGTTGTTTTTTTTTTTTTTTTTTTTTACTTTTATAAACATGCACAGTAGCAGAATACTCGCATGTTAACAAGAGTAAAAGATACCTACCAAAAATCGATGATTTAATCGTATTCTGAGTGTTTTCCAGATTTGATATTGACTTTGTTAGTCTCGAGTTTGTAGCAAGTAAATCACTGTTTACATCATTCAGTGAAGTATTCAATGTCATTGACAATATTTCGTACTTTTCCATGATCATTTCTGGAATACTCTTATCAATTTCTTCTAAAGTGTGCTTATTCAAATCAAGCAAAGTAACTGACAAATAACGAATTTCTACTTTCAGGTCACCAAGTATCGTGCTGGTATTTGTCTCGAAATCTTTTCTTTTCTCCTCAATCTGTTCCAAACCCCTCTGGAAATCTTCGCTGAGCAGTGTAAAATTTTCCTTAACGGCGTTGAAGTTTACTTCGTTTTTTCTATTTTCAAGCTTAAGTCTCTCGTTTTCACGTTTTAGTTCGTTTACTTCGTGTCTTAATGCTGTCACCTCTACTTCTGTTTTCTGCTGTGAAGTTTCCAATGTCTCCATACTTTGTTTCAGGTCGACCATGTCCTTCATCAGCGAGTGTACATTTTTAACCAATGCTATTCTTATGATTGTTTCTTGGTTCAAAAGTTGCCTAAATACGTCCACATTTTTCGAGTCGATGTCATTTATGTCCAGCTGAGTAATATTCTGACCACTGTTGTCTGTGAGTATTGAAAGACATTGAACATATGCGGTATGCAGAAAAAGAAGCAAGCCAAGAATGTGCCTCATTTTGAAAATCTCAAACTATGAGGTGATGATCAGTTGTAAGAATTTATACCTCTCTTTTTATATCGTTCAGTTTTCATTTGTATGCTGAAGATAAGGATTAATATGTGTTATAAATAAATCAAACAGCTATAATTATCAAATCCAATCGTTGCATGGTACAATTAAAATTTTGTTTAATGTCATATACATTTACTTTTTCAATGACGCACAATATCACCATTATCTTCATCTGATAATTCCTTTAAATATCCATTTGCGTAACTGTACCAATATAAGTCAAATTAAAAAAAACCTTCCAGCTTGTTTCAAGTTCTCCTTCTAGTTTTTATCATGATTAAGATTTAAAAACTGTTAAGGATGACTTTTACTCACATGGCAAAAAATTCAACTCAGTCTGATAAGAATGAAAAGCCACCTATTGTACACTGTAGACCTATATTCATAGTGTTATTCACTTTCAAATAACTATGTCATTGACCTACTTTTCATGCTAGTGACCCTGAGTATTTCTCGGAAAATACCTCAATTTTTTACCCTATGACAACACAATGTATTTTCTTTATTAACAAAATATAACAAGTAACAAAACTCTGTGGATATCTGGTGCACCCTCCCAATTCTCTGGCGGTCGCCAGATAACTTATCTGGCTCGCCGAAAGGTTAATCAGATCTATTTATATGGCGGTCGCCAGTTAATTTTCTGGCGACCGCCAGTTATTTATATGGCGGCGTCATATAAAACATTTTCTACCTGGCACCTACCGGCTTCCGTAGTGGATGAATTATAATGTAATTAGTAGTGAATGAATTATAATGTAATTAGTTTAACAGTTTTAACAGTTGGAATTTGAATTATAAACTTATTTGTTATCTAGTCGGAATTTTCTCTGTCAATTTTCTAATTTTTAGCCATTTTTTATCTAATATTTTAAAAAACTGAATGATAAGATTACTAAACTATTAATAGCCTTTGTTTATTTTTGTTCATTTTATTCTGATGGTATTAAAATTATATGGAGTCAATGGTCAATTTTTTGATATGTGTTGTCAGGAATGGTTTTTGTACATATTTTTGATATACTTTACTACATGCAATTTAATTAATTAAAGCAATACATGAGATATAACATCCATGATATTTCTAAAGTAATATGACAATCACATAGAATCTTAACTTTTAGGATAATGTTGTAATCCAACTTATAGTTCCCTTTCTAAGGAAGAAATTCTTCAAAATCATACGTCAGTTTTGAATATTTTTAATATTCCAAACAACCAAAATGAATTTGAATTACCATATTTATATTGGATTCCGAAACTTCATAAAAATCCTTACAAACAAAGATACATAGCGGGTTCCAGTAAATGTTCAACCAAGCCTCTTTCTTTACTCCTCACTAAGATATTAACAGTAGTGAAGGAGAAACTTCAAGAGTACTGTGCAACAATATATTCGAGAAGTGGTGTAAATCAGATGTGGAACTTAAGAATTCCAAGGAACTTTTGGAAAATTTGAAATTGCAAGATTTTACCAAAATCAACAGCTTAAAAACTTACTACTTTTCAACTTTATACACAACCATTCCCCACGATAAATGAAAGTCCAGGCTTTTTGATATCATTGACAGCTGCTTTTTCAATAAAAATGGAGCTCGTAAATTTACTTACCTTGTCATTGGTCATTTGCAAAATTATTTTGTTAAAAAACATTTTGATTGTACACACAAGTACTCTGAAGTTGACATTAAAAAGATGCTTGAGTTTCTGATTGACAATATCTATGTGGTTTTTGGAGACCAGGTCTTCCAATAATCTATTGGAATTCCCATGGGTACCAATTGCGCCCCGTTATTAGCAGACCTTTTTTGTATTCATATGAAGCAGAATTTGTCCAAAATCTTGTACGTGAAAAGAAGAAAACACTTGCTGTGGCCTTCAACTCGACATTTAGATATATCGACGACGTATTGTCAATTAACAATGGCTATTTCCATTCTTATGTCGATACGATATATCCTTGTGAGCTTGAGATAAAAGATACCACAGAGTCTGACACATCTGTTTCATATTTGGATATTTTAGTTGAAAAAGACGTTAATGGTAATCTAACAACCAAGTTTTATGATAAACGTGATGACTTTAACTTTTCAATCGTCAACTTCCCTTACTTATGCAGCAATATACCTTCATCACCTGCATATGGGTATATATCTCTCAGTTGATTCGATACGCAAGAGCATACTCTACGTATGTACAATTTCTAAAACGAGGTAAATTATTGACAAACAAGTTGATGAAACAAGAATATCATCTGTCTCGTTTAAAGTCATCAATTCGTAAGTTCTATGGTCGATACAATGACCTTGTCAGCAAATACAATTTATCATTGAGTCAAATGCTGACTGACGTTTTTCATACAAATTGTTAGGCCATTATTTACACAATGAATTGTTGACGAATTTTTCCGTTATTTCCCGATCATGACAAGGAGCACACGGCGGGTGTGACCGGTCGGCAGGGGATGCTCACTCCTCCATGGCACCTGATCCCACCTCTGATGCTTGGAGGTCCGTGTTTGCTCTGCTCCTATTTTGTATTGTTTGATGGACTTTTGAGCCTGATCGAATACTGTTCGTTATCTTCATATATTTCATTGTAAGAAGAAAAAAATTATATGAAAAAAATGAAAAATTAAAATTTAGTTCGAAATTCCTCTTCGTCACTTTACAATTGCATTTGATGTTCAACATTTTCTTCAATTAGTAGGAAATTGAATTTTAACATTGATATTTATTTATTACATTGAAATATTTTCCATTTATGATAATGTACTTAATAGCAATTCATTTCTGTCAACTTACACCTTGAGTAAACGTTACTTAAAGCAATATGAGCTGCATTTTTGAGAATTTATTTTGCTGTTAAAATGTGTAATTATGATAAATCTATATGATCAATTAGACGAAAATAAAGTATTAAATTGTTACAGAAGAAAGACTTCTGTACAATCCAATATATAGTATTATGTAAGAAATCAATTAATATTGCACAGAATGACAGCATTGTAATTTTACTTTAATAAAAGCTTATAAATAGTTCTTCCATCGCAAATATGAACAGCAGAAGTTTATAAACGTTTTTGTTTTCTGTTATTGAAATAGTTAATTACAATTTTGCAACAAAAATTTCCGACGTTAAAGTTGCAACTCACATTGCTTTAATTGAATATCTAAGGTATCTTTATCTGAAAATTAGAAATTAAAAAGAGATATCAAAATTCCAATGCAGTATAATGATGAACAAAATAGCAGAATTGAAAAAATAAAACAGGTGGACTTATAAAATTTGCAGTGTTTAGAATAGTAAGAACTAATTAAATTACGTCTCGGGACAGCCTCGACCTCCTTCACCAGCCCTATAGTTCCAATGTGCCAAGTGAGACAAATAAATGAGGATGCATCGAAATAACAACTAAATCGAGCATAAAACCTTTCTTGACATGGTTGTAATTTCCACGCAAAAAATAACTATAAAGGAAGAAAAAATTAAACATTTCATTCTTCAAATATATATGTGAAAACGTGTGGATCATCAAATTCTATAGTTAACTCCCCAGTTTGTTTACATTGCCAACGCATCGTTTTATTGCACAAACGAAATTATAGTTAAACGATGTCTGTTTAGTACGGTAGGTGCCAGGTAGAAAAAATATTTTATTTGGAATATATATTTTATCAGGAAGATAGTATAATATTGCAAGAGAAAACAGCATTTGTCACTTGTCTCCATATAAGGAAATAGGAGATGAATTTCATTATTTATTTAAATGCACTGACCCATACATTAAGAATTCTAGATTTAAATTTTTGCCCAAGTATTATTATACAAATCCTAATGTTTTTAAGTTAGAACAATTATTTAATTTAAGCAGCAAAGATCAACTGATTAATCTGTGTAAATTTATTGGGATTATAATTGAGAGAGTTGGCTCTCTTGGTTAATGACAATTTCGTTTTTCAATGTTTTTTCTTTTTCTCGCGCATGCTTTATTGTAAGTATTTCATGTTTGTAATATCCTCTCTATACTGTTGTTACAGTTTTTGAGAATAAACTATCGTATATGGCGGCCACCAAATAATTATCTGACAGCCGCCGCATAAATAACTGGCCGCCAGATTCCATTTATTTGGCGGCCGCCAGATCTATTAATTTGGTGGTCGCCAAATAATTATTTATGTGGCGGCCGCCAGATAAAATATTTTTTTCTACCTTGCACTACGGGCTTCCGTATTTTAGAATTATCATTCTAAAGATAACGTTTTGAACATTCTTGCTTACATTTCTTTTGCATATTTAATGTTACTTTTTTTAGGCTGTATTAATTCTATATCATCATGAAAAAAATGATATAAAAAAAGATAAATAAAAGATATGAGAGAGAGAGAGAGAGAGAGAGAGAGAGAGAGTTATTACTTCTAATTCTTACTTAGAATACATTTACACTCAATCAGGTATTACCAACGAAGATCAAAAGATCGGACGCATCATATTTTTATACCCCCGTAATGGAAGAGTTTTTGCCCTGTCTGTTCGTCTGTCTGTCTGTTTGTCAGTCTGACTATTTGTCCGCAAAAACTTTAACCTTGCCCATAACTTTTATTAAACAATGGATGTCATATGAATTTACAAGGTGTTTGAAAGTTACAACATGACAGATGCTTGGTGATATGGTGATGGTCATCGTCTCAAGCCAAGGTCCGGAGTCCGCATACAGCTCTCTCGATCCTATCAGACTGGGAGAAGATCGGACATTTTGGCTGTGGTTTGCGACGATGGGTGCTGGTGAGAAGGGGGTGTTAATGAATGTTATTTTTGCGGTGTTCTGTTATGTCTGCTCTTAACTTTAGGGGTAATGTCTTGGTGTGAACCGAGTCAACGCCAATAAACTTAAATGTAGCATGTAGGGCCATTTGAAGTTTTTCCCCTATGTGTAGCGTCCACGGATGAATTATTTTGA